TTTTGCTTGAGTGATTTTGGACTCCAAACACTGAAGATGTCAAAACAATCTGACAGACAATAAGAATACGCCGACCGAGGTGATAGATAACTAACTATTAAACAATTATTTTTGGTTTTTGTTATAGAAAAAAATCCGTGTGGGCTTTTTTGAAAGTAAATTCATTACTTATTTAAATATTTATTTTGACGTTTCGGGAATTTACATCCATTATCAATGTCTGCTTTGTTATAAGAAATAAGGATAACAAAGGATATTAGTATTTTACATTTTATTATAAAGCTTACATTATATTTTTTAATAAACTTACATTATTATAAAATTTAAAAACCATTTCATTATATATAGTTTCATTTAAAAGAAATATGTGACCATTTTGCATTTGTAATTCAAGTTTATTTATATTAAATTCTGCATTATTTTTAATTAAAATTTAAAAAAGCCAAGCTTACTGGCCGACTGGCTAAGATGGAAGGTTACGTTTTTTTTAATTATTGTGTTAAACAATTTTATTATTTAGGAATCCAAGTTTTTGGTATATTGATACTTTTTGTAATATGCATTTTTTTTAAAAAATAATTTTAATTTATTTTATATTTTACATTAAGCAAGGTTTGGGATATCTTAAATTTTTGAAGTAATTTACCGTTTATTTTTACATATATAATTTTTAAACATTTTTAATGATTGGTTATATCGGTATCTAATAGGATCATTTGGTTGTAATGAGTTTTTTTATTCAAACTTTTTAAACTATTTTTGTAATATTCATGTATTCTAAGATTTGTCTTTTAAAAGCGTTTTGTTCAAACAATTATTTTATGTTTATGTTATTTTCTGACTACATACCGCCATGGTCTCCTCTCTCACTCACTCTCTCTCTCCCTCTCACTCTCTCTCTCTCTCTCTTTCTATCTATCTATCTATCTATCTATTTATCTCTCTTGCAGAAAACAGAAAAATATACTAAGTACTTTTGTCCTCTTATTTATTTAAACCGTTTTTAGAAGTAGGTAGGTTGTAAATGAATAAGTTCATTCAAATAAGTTCATACGATAATTTTTCTTTTACTATAAACAAGTTTTTAAACTTATAAGTGAGGAAGCTCATGAATCGTGAGTACAAAGTTGTAATAAATTATGTTACTTTCTGTTATAAATTCCCTTTTTAGAATATGTACTTCCTTAATTCCAAAATGTGAATCACGCCTTTGATCGTGTATGGCACTCCGCTTACGGAAGTCCTTAGTTTTATCTACTACCTGATTCTAAAATCCTAACTATCCTACAGATACTTTCAAGTCGTCAGTCCGGCGATTGGTACCACAAGGAAATATCTTAGGACCCACCCTCTACACAGTATACACCGCAGACATTCCCCCCTTCCTGAAACGATTCTCATCACCTGTTCGGATGATACCGTCAGCCTTTGCTTTCATATAAGATCCTGTCATCTTGACTGAAACCTGCAAACCCTGTCACAACCCTTGGGCACATTGTCAATGGGGATGCCATTAAACATAGAAAAATGCGAACATGTCACTTTCACCGTTTTTTTACAATATAAGTTATTTTGGTTCCGCCCATAAGTTATTTTGGAAAATGACATGGAGCCGATACGCAACTCCAAAAGTCAAGTACTAAACAGACGCTTCAATCTTCTTAATAGATTGCTGGATAAACTGATTTTACAAAACAAACGATTCATTTATATTACTATGTTGAAATCTATTTAGACATACCACATCGAACTTTGGGGTTCAACAAAACGTTCCAACTTCCAACGCATCAATTCCAAAATCCTCAGAACCAACGTCAATGCTCATTTGTATGTATCCATTCTTACCATTCACCTTATCCAATATGTCTTTTAAGTTGCGAAAAACCGCTTCAAGAAGTTTCACAAACCGTTATCCAGCCACACAAACCCTCATGTCTGAAACCTTTCATCCCGCACCCTTCCAAGTAATCCTCCCCGACGGCTGAAACGACATTGGCCTTGCGACAGGAGAAGTGATTAACGCTAATAGGAGGGTGTGGTGATTAGTGACCGTTAATCGATAATTATTCAGAAATCGTGAGATGCGGTCTGGTGTGATGTAGGTTTCAGAAAAACATTTTCTTTATCGTGCCNTCTCACTGGCACTTTCGACACGACACGCAAGAATGGCACAATTACACAGAAGACAAACACTTTGAGTGAGTAGAAATACTTTGATTGAATATAAAAAATATATTTTGCATTGTATAAATTCACTTTTCCACATCTTAAATGTATTTGTTAATTGTAAACAATGTTTGTAAATCCAGGCCCTGAAGATGATCTCAATAAAGATCGAAACGTTGGCACGATAAAGAAAATGTTTTTCTGAAACCTACATCACACTCTGGTGACCGCATCTCACGATTTCTGAATATTTAGCTAATAGGAGTACTTCTTTTTCATGAGTGACCGGTCCGGCTATTGCCCAAATGCAAGGGTACCACAAGGAAGTATCTTAGGACCATCCTCTACGCAGTATACACAACAGACATTCTTCCGCTTCCTGAAACGATTCTCGCAATTGTGAGGATGTCACCTCCCCGACGGCTGAAGCGCCAGTGGCCTCGATACCTCCTAAGTAACAGAAGAAGTGATTAACGCTAAAAGGAGTGTTCTTTTTCATAATTTATGCGTAGTTTTTTACTTTTCGCCTTTACTTTGTTTTGTGTTCTAAAATTTTATCGAATTTACTCAAGCGCAGCAATTTACGCAAATTTTTATAAATAAAAAAAGAGTTTGGTACTTTCCAACGGGAAATTGTTGTCCCTAACCCGGATTTATTATTAAATCTGACATGTCTGACCTTTTTAAAAACTAAGGTTAGCGAAAAAATAATTTAACATGAGCTAAATGTAAAAGCTTTAATCTTTGTTTTGATCTTGATTAAAAAAATCCTCCATCTTCGTTTAAGCCGGTATTACCTTCGGCTCCGGTAGAGGGGTGGATAATGAAGGTTGAATAAGATCAAGATTACATAGTTTCCCATTACATCAAAGATGGCGGCCGGGGCAATTTCCTGAAATGCTCATGGCTATTAGGTTTTATCTTGTAAATATATTTCTTTTGTATAATGGTCCGTCATTACCTGTTAATTTAGTGGCTAATAGCTTCGGAGAAGGGGCGCCCAATGGGAACGGGGCACTGCTCAAGGATCTTTACCTTACCTGTCAGTCCGTTTTCGAGATCGGTGTATAATTTTTTTGCCCCTTTCGCGATCGGGGGGAAATAATGGAGATTCGATTCAGCGTAATCGCTTTCATTTCCGTGTACAATTGTGTACAATCTTGTAATGGTTTTCCTGGAGAGCTATTGTTATATCGGGCAAGCTATGCGAGAGCATTATTAGAATTCGGTTCGGCTGATCTCGCAGTTTAGTTTAACACCGTCTTCAGTGACCTGACAATCAATAATATCACATGTCACTCAATAATCACAGCGTCCTTTGATCATATTGTTTCCCTAAAATATTAATTTAAAACTTTAAAACTAATCCACTTTAACTAATATTAAGTATGGAACTGTCACAGGATTATGTTTAATATCTTACAATTGATTAAGGTTTTCAGTTGAGATGAAAAAGTCAATGGCGCGAGCGGGATTCGAACCCACGATCTTCGGCTTGATACGCCGCTGCTCTACCACTTGAGCTACGTGACCTCGATCCACTCGGACACCAACCTCCCATCTCAACCACACCTTTTGAGTTTTCCCTTCTTTTTGCCATTTTTCAAATGTCGTGTAATCAATTTGATTCTCGGCTACAAATGAAATGGCCACGGAGAGCTTTAGTGCTCGTGCCATTAACTTTTTTATCTCAACTGAAAACCTTAATTAATTGTAAGATACTAATTGCTCAAGCGGACCACGAAACTAGTGAATTTAATAAGTTTAAAATGAAATATACTTCACTAAAGCTCTCCGTGGCCATTTCATTTGTCGCCGAGAATCAAATTGATTACACGACATTTGAAAAATGGCAATAAGGAGGGAAAATTCAAAAGGTGGGGTTGAGATAGGAAGTTGATGTCCGAGTGGATCGAGGTCACGATAGCTCAAGTGGTAGAGCAGCGGCGTATCAAGCGGAAGATCGTGGGTTCGAATCCCGCTCTTGCCATTGATTTTTTTATCTCAACTGAAAACCTTAATTAATTGTAAGATATTAATTGGTCAAGCGGACCACGAAACTAGTGAATTTAATAAATTATGTTTAATGTCCATATAACAAAATACTCAAAAACGTCAGTGGCAGTCTACTAATAGTAGTGAAATAAGTAAATAGTAGTCTAGTAGTCAGTAAAATCTCATACTAAAAAAAGAGGTAAACATACAAGGCTTTCAAAGGGAGCCATTCATTCCCTTTTTAGTGTTTACATATAACAATTACATTTTGGATATGGAAAAGTGAATTTATACAATGTTTATTTGTACAAATATAGTTTGCATTGTATAAATTCACTTTTCCACATCCAAAATGTAATTGTTATAGGTAAACAATGTTTGTAAATCCCAGGCCCTGAAGATGATCTCAATAAAGATCGAACGTTAGCACGATAAAGAAAATGTTTTTCTGAAACCTACATCACACCAGACCGCATCTCACGATTTCTAAATAAATTATTTATATATTATATACCATTAAATATTTATATATTTTATTTAGTGAACCCTGTAACACCCTGTGTATTGATAAGCCTAAGTTCGCAATGGCTGTTGGTCTTGCCAGAACCTAATTATGTACACATTGGTCAATTTTTGGATTAATCTTTTTAGACATTTTTTTAGGTATGTACTGTACATTGTTAGTAGGTATTAGTTATATGACAAACCAGGTTTTTTTAAAGTAGGTAATAAGTGTGTTCTTTGATGGTACTTCGCGAATGATTTTGTTTGAACTTTAACATGTGTTTTTAATATCACCAGGTGATTCAAATATTTAAATTAAAACAAAAAAGACAATGCTTTGAAAAATATGGCTTCCGTTATTTTAAATCTAACCCGGCGAAATCAGAATTGTTTAAGTGGCATGTGATCTTTTAAGGCGACTCGTTCAAGTCAACATGGCCTGCATTCCCTCTTGACTTTTTTCTTAACAAGGGGATCTTGATCTAAGACAGCCATCGGCGGTTTGTAGCTGTGGTCGAGCGGTTTGATCCCCCTTAAAGACTGCGGGTGGTCGAAGCAGGACGCCTGGCAGTATTTGGGCCACTGGCAGAGCACTCCATTTGCCGAATTCAAAGATGCTATCCAATTGTTATACTCTGTCTTTGAAATCACGTTAAACGGGAAAAGGCCGTCATCGTCTTCGGAAGAATCTGACTCGAAATCCGAAGAATCATCGTCCGTCTCGTGCTTGGCCTTTTCCTTGGTCTCGGCTTCGGGTTTTTTACCGTAGCAGCCGCCGGTCCCCTTGCAGCAACAAGCGTCCGGGACCCAATCTTTGTACGGATGCGTCGGTGGCTCTGGTACAATGGTATCTCTAACGATCCGAAAGCTTATCTTCTTAGGCTGAAAAGCAGTACATTTATTTTAATGAGAAAATTTGTAACCACACATTACAATAAATTTTGATATAACGAAAGGTTTGATTTATTTTTCGAACCAAAAAATACATAACTGCAATAACGTTAATGATTTCTCCTTCCCATTTATTAATCTGCCTCTGTATAACACCCTGTCCTCACTAAATCCTTTTTCTCTGCCTTTCTATCAATCTCTATGACTCCAGACTTATGTCTGACCTGCACTCTATCTCTCTCTTTCTCACTATCTATTTTATCTATCTCTCTATGCCTCTCCTCCTTTCTCTTCTTTCTCGTTCTATCCTCTATTTCTCTGCTTCTTTAATCTTTACCACCTCTTATTTAACTTTCCTCTCACCACTCTTTTTCTCTCCTTTCCTGCAATTAGTCCCTTTACCGATTTCTCTCTCTCAATCTCTATCTATCTTTCTCTCGTAGTGGCAGAGAGGTGATAGAGGCCTAACTTAGCGTGGTGTTAATATTAACGTAATCTCTCTTTCCTTTTCTGTCTCCTGACCCTTTATTACACACTCTCTCTCTCTCTCTCTCTCTCTCTCTCTCTCAATCTCTCTCTCAATCTCAAGCTCTTTTTAATTCTTTTTTTTCTATATCTTTCTCGCTTTTTTTCTTAGTGTCATATCTTATTTTCCATCGATATCTTTTCTAACTTCTTTTGTCGATTTGTAATTTTCACACTTTGCCCTTCTTAAATGAAATCTATTTTAAGTTATAAAACATGCAATAAAAAAAGTTGTGCGAATTTTTAAATTATTTTTTTCTTCAAATTACATATTCATTTGAAAATACTGAATAGGATTCTACTGAAGTCAAGTATCTATTTGTTATTCTAGAAATCAATAACCAACCACCAGTTCATTTTTCCCAACACAAAGAATACTTAAATAAAAACTAACATAAAATTGAACATCGGTTATTTCTATGTGTGAAATGCTACATTTTTAATTGTGAACATACTGTTAAAATTTGAAGTTTTTCCCACCTATTTAAACCTACTGGTATATGGGGTACACCAAAATGGTATTGATATGGGCCAATTCAATGTTATTTTTCAAACGATATTGATTAAAATTGAGTTTTGTCATTATTGACCGCGTAGACCGCACAACCGTTTGTTCTAAGTTTGCAGGGCGTCCAGGAAGGCAAAATCAAGAATGATTGATTATAAACGTAACAACATAACTCAATAAACAACCCGAGAAACATTTTATTTTTATTTTAGTTAATGTTTTCTGTAAGTTTAATGGACAGAGTAATTTGTACTTGATTAAACCGTTTTTGTATCATTGCGTTTTCGAAAATATTTTTGCTTTTGGAACATTAGAACATGTATGAAGTGTATGTGAATATGTAATCGCCTTAGATTTTTCGTGATTTCGGTTTTTTAGAATTTTGGCAAAGTTACAATAAGCAATTTTAGTCAATTTTGATAGTATGATTGGATTTATAGAATATTGGTCTCTCTGGATAAAATGGTCCGCCTTTTTACGATGATTTTTTAAACGAGAAGCGTTTCAGAGGTCTCAAAATAATGTAAAACATTCTATGTTTACATATACTAAAGATTCAGACTATTCAGTAAATATTCAATTAATTGTTAAACAATACTCACAATTCGTTTGGCATGAACGGGGCAGTTTTTACAACGGCACTTCTCGCCGATAATCATAGGCCTACTATTTCTGGAAACAAGAAGCTCTTTGAGAAACGGCCAAAAACAACAATTATAACGCTTACTTTTCTGTTTTCGTAGGATGACAGGCTTTTATGATAATTTTCCGCCTCATTTTTCAAGTTTCTTTTGTCACTTTTATCTCGAGTCTTGAAATTGTTGCCGTGTCTTTTGTTACTTTGTGAGCTTCGAGCCCCGTGTCTTGAGGGCTAACATGCTGGACCCGTTTCACCTGTTCATAAAATGCATCTATGTATTATTTCTGGAGCCCCGTTTAAAACAAACGGAAGCTATGTTGGAAAACATAGTCGTCAAGTTTAATATTTTTATTTTTCTATTTTGTGTTAAACGCCACATATGATGTGGCGAGACATATGCTAGTACGCGTTGAAATATCAATTTCCAGGTTCGTGTCAATACAACATCAATTCGTCTTGCATGAACTACCCACCAACACCATTCGATAGCAGTTGGTAAATTCAAACCCAACTTCACTATAATAACGTTGTGGAAAGTTACGCTAAATTGCTCTGTATTTAATTATAATTATTTACTTTTACTTGACACAGTTTTAACAAGTTTTTTAACTAGGTAGGAACTATTAGAAAAACGTGTTTGTGAAATGAAAAGAAATGCCAAAAACAAACGCAAAAATCAAAATACGTTTAAGAGAAAACAGTCGTGCTTCTTCTTCACAAAACATATTTTTTTACTATTCTAGAAAAATGTCATTTTTAATTAATGTTGAAAAACGTAGACAAACGATCTAGGTGGAAATCGTGAAAAAGAACTGGAGCACCCACACGAGAGTCCGTATAAGCCCTAACACTTTATTGCATGTAAATAGGTATTTTGTATTTTAAGGATATCAACTATTAACGCCTGTACCTAAAACCTATTTATGTCCTTATTTCACGTGCGATTTTCGTATTTATCCAACGGCTATTTGATATAGCCCAAGATCCATACGTACAATACTTTCCGAAAGTAACGTCTAATACATGAGATTTTTGCCGTTTTTTCTTCTACTAAATAAATGTATTTAATTTTCCAGGCCTCAGGATATATAGGATAAATCAACAAACATCTCACTGTCGGATTTGACTAATTATGCGTACTATACTTTGGTTGAGAGGGATTAGGCAGACAGAACAGTCCTGAATTTATCTAAGGCTTTAGACCAAGTTTATCAATCATAACATTCTTATGGGTAAATCTGTGGTTTAAGATTTCATTAAGCGTGGATCGTATCTCCTGGGAAGACCATATATAGGGTTGATATTAAAGTTGGCAATGGTTCCATGTGAATGTGCTAAAGTTGGCAATGGTTCCATGTGAATTTTCCTACTATTGCTGATGTATCTGCTCTATGTTAACTACTGTCTTCCTACTTTACAGCCTCTCGATTGCTCCTACACTGATGGCTCATTGACTTGCAAAGCTTCATGCGTATTCTACAGTAGGAAACATAGCTTTGAAGTACTTAGTATGTAGTTATTTTGTGATCAGTCTTTTCAAATTCTAATGTTGATTGAAAAAGGATCGGGGATGAGGCCCAGATAGACAAGCGTAGAGGACTCAATTCTTTGTCGAGCTTTCGGTCAAATTTATTGCCTTCATCAGGGCTCTAAATTACAGAACATTTGACATTAGTGTTGATAAAACAAATATAAAAAACAGAGAGAACAATTTACCTAACAATCTCGAATTGAAAATTAAGTAACAGTTGAAAACATTGAGAGGACACCCATCAATGTATTCGGGGAGGTAAGTATACGGTAATACTTGCCATAATGATTTATGACAAACACTGTTTATAACCATATTTAAATAATAGAATTTTATATATATATATATATATATATATATTTTTTTTTTTGTACGAGGGTTCGCAACTGCAGAGGTCATATAAACCCTCAGGGTGCTGGTGTTTTTGAAAAAAAGCCCATTTGTAAGTATGTCGGGTTCGAATGCAGGGCCGCTGGATTCTAACCCGGGACCTTTACCTTACAGAGATGAGCGCCGTGTCAATGACTAAACCTTGCGGCCACCGACGCCCCTAAACTATCTGTTTGCTTTTTCCTATTGCTAGCTTATTTGTATTTCAGAATTTTGGCACACCAATACGGAGATATTCCTTTATTCCTCAACGCTATACGCCCCAACTTTAGCTTTTAGCTCGTAGTCTATGAAGTTTTCAATGTCATATCTCCAGAAAATGTCAGGTTGATAGCAGAATACGTGATATTCCTTGGGGTTATGGATAAACCCTCCATTCACGTTAATAAATACATTTGTTCAAATAAACAACAGAACCCGTATTTTGTTTTTGATATTTAGGTAATCACTTTATGGTAGGATTTACTCTATCGATGGCGATAGACGAAATATGATCTAGTTTTTGATCTGACTGCTCAATACTCCAGTTTGTGTCCACTGATTTATATTAATTTTCTATCGTTTTATTTTCTATTTCTTTAGGACAAGAACCAGGGACACGGTTGCCCTGAGACTTTGTTAAAACCCGATCAGATGCATTCCTACTTTTGCCATACTACTGATCTTAAATCCGAAATCATATCTCTGTTTATTTATGTGCGCAGTAGGAAAAACGGTTTTCTAAGGCTGTAATGGCGGATAAGGAATCAGAGCATATAACCAACCTGACATTTTCTGTAGATATAACGATGACAGCTTTATCGACTACGAGCTCAAAGCTAAAGTTGGTGCATATAGCGTTGAGGAAAAAATAGTACCTTCTGTTATCGGTGACACAAGCGTCTTCTACTCCGTCAGGCCCTCAAGAGACATCGATATAGATAAGAATTTTTAAGGTTTGTGGAAGAATGGTTATACTCGGTCCTGTATCGTCTGCACGTGCATCTTCAGAAAAGCGCTGGTATATAGTAAAGTAGTGGATCTAGTATGCCCCCTTGGGGACGTGCTTTTTATTAGTTCTGAATATTGCTCTTCTTGTTTGACACTAAATTGTCCAATTAGGTAGGATGTGAGAATGTTAACATATTTTTTGGTTTAGTGAAATTATTTTTCCTAGTTTACTGATACTTCTAACCAGTCGTTGTAAAAATCTTGTGCAACATCAATGAAATGAACAAATAAGTTTTTCTCCTGGATGTTTTATTTAATCAGTTACTAAGAAATTTGATGGAGTTTTGACCAAATTTTATTCTTTTTAGTGAAACAATATTGAATAACGCCTTTTTAATGAATATTATCTTTCTTTATAACATCAACATTTGTGGTTTATATGTGGGAAACGGTTTATTTTCAAAATCTAATCACATGGAAGTTGTATCTATCGTATGCTTAGCATTAAATAAGTGCGCATTCTCACATGATATGTTACACAATAGTTAAAAATGTATTAAATTAGAGTTTATTTTATTGCCTTTACCAAATTTCTCTAACTTTGTTGCCGCTTACTAGATTGACCACAAAGCATTGTATGTGCGTAAAACAATTCACTAAAAGTGTTCTCTTTGTGTTAAGATCCTCCAGGGTCAGGATAGACCGCCGTTATGCCCGATACAATTGTATAAAAGTCCATTAAAACCAACCCCATCCCGCGCGATGTATGCCACGTCTTGAAATATAGATCCGGCAGTCGGGGCGAATCTGGCAGGACTGTAACTCTCCCAGGGAGCTATAACCCCTAATTGCCTAAGAGAACAAAGACTTATCCGCCCAGATCGGCCCATCAATAAGGGATGCGCACAAGGGAAAGTTAGCCCTACGTGGGCAGAATTCAACCGAAGGAGAGGAGAGTTATGTCCTCATGGCCTCCGCGCCACTTATCCACTCCACTTGTTGTCAAACCCTTGCATATTTCAAACAGGTCTCCGGACGGCCAGGATATACGACCAGGGCTGATTGGTGTCGTGAATGCCACTTTGCAATGATTGACTCTCCAATATTTGACTCCCTTTCATATCTTTTAAATCATTCTTATCCAGTTTACCAATCTGTATTCACCAACAATAACAATTTTTTCTGATTCAGACTGAGAGAATCAAGAATGATAAACGATTTTTTGTTCAAATCCTTTTGTTTTTAATCAGAAGTCTAAAGTTCCTGCGCAGTTTGACAATTGAATAATTAATATCAAATCAGTACTATCCTACTAGGAGATTTGTATTGACAAAATGGGTAATCATATAAATAACGTCAATTTTGTGAATTTACAACTAATAAAACATCTTTTTATTCCATACCCTTTCTCTGTGCAATCTTTTCCCTATGGGGAGAATTGCTTGTTTGAGTGTAACGATCATTTGTGTAAAGAGATAAACAATATAAATAAAGGGATTTTAGAAAGGAAAAATAGGAGAAAATAACTGCTAACTTTGAGGTGCTTTGGATTTTTCTGAGGATTTTGGACTGAGCTGATTGAACTCGTTAAATGCTGGAATGTGTTGGTAAATCCCGATGTTCCATGAAGGTTTTAGGTTAGTGTTGAAAATAACACGTTTGTTTGCCACCTAACATAATTGTTAGGTGGTAAAATTGTATTTTTGAAATTACAGAGTTTTGTATATTATTAAATATGCATTATTAATTACTAATTAACTATTATGATTTATTAAATTGAAAATTAGCATTAAATTATTATTATTGTATATTATTACATTATTCTACATTTTGTCTTGTGCTGTTAAGTTAAAAAACCCTACGTGAAGTAAACACTTTAAAAATTGTATCTAATTTTATGTTTCAAATACCATCAGTTTTATTTTATTTCATGACTAAACAATGCACTTTCTTTTTGCAAACTTGACACCATTTTAAGTCATTTATTTACCTTCATATTCACACATTATTTCCATTGTGCTCAATGTTTTATTAAAAGACAGGTGAATATAAAAAGCAAATTGTATAATGTACTTCAAAATTCATATATCGTTATCGAAATCACCAATCTAGACAAAACAAACCGAGATATTAGGATCTATTAAGAAAAAAACTACAAATAAGGATGCTTTCCAAGAGCATATTCTATTTTTGTCAAAACTTTCTTAAGACAAGAAAATTAGGTAATCATTGTAATGTAATGTATATAAATCAATGAAAAGAAACACTAATATTTTATATAATAGGTATTTTATTGCGAAAAGCAAGCCAAATGAAACTACAATTCGTAAGTGCAAGGAATTTTTCTATTATTAGAACAAAAGTGGAAACGAGAAGATAGGGGTGAATCAGCATGTAGACGTAGACACGCCTTAAAAGGGAAATCTTTAAACTGAGTAATCAATCCTCAGGTGATCTATTTTTCATAAATATTATCTAGAAGAGAAAAAAATGATGTACTTATTATGCAAATACCAATAAAAAGTAAAAATTAAAGTAATGAGTGT